GGTGTAGCCGTCAATTGGTGATACCTTCTTCACTGATTTTCAAAGGTATACAAAGGTTTAGTGCCATTTGTTAGAATTTTGCGCGATCTTCATTCATTGAGTGGCAACTAGTTATACTAGACTTTTCTGGTCTACGAAATCGAATACGTTTTGTGCTTTTCAACGATTTCAAATAGTTCGTCTAGTCTTACTTGGCATTTCTTTTCACAATCCTCGCATCTAATTTCCAAAATATCTGACTTTGCAGTTTGTGTTCTTGTCATCAGGATCGCCTGTTACTTGTTGTTCATACCAAACTAAATATAAATAACTTATCGAAAAGTTGAAAATGTACGAAGTCATTTATATTTGCAGAATACTCATTACTTAAATCACAACCCACTTCATCCAAATCAGCATGCATATACTCCGGGAGGGTCTACTGATTCTGCCCTACACCATGTGGTTGGCAGAATCGTGAGATCAATGGACAACAAAGAATCCACCCTGGGTATATTCATAGAAATCGAGGGAGCGTTTGATAAAACAACCTTTCCAACAATTACCCATCAACTACACTCCAGGAATGTTCCCCTGGTAGTAGGAGAATGGATACTCAAGATGATCTCTAGTAAAGTAATAAGTATTATTGTAGGAGACATCACAGTGAAAGGACTAGTCATGAGGGGATGTCCACAGGGAGGGGTCTTATCGCTCCTTCTCTGGAACATAGTTCTGGACACCCTGATTAATCACCTTAACAAAAATGGATTCTACACATTTGCATACACAGATGACATAGTTATCTTGCAGACCGACAAATTTGTAAACATACTGTGCGATAGAGCGCAGGATGGGCTCAAATTAATAGAAACATGGTGTAAGGAACACTCAGTGTCGATCAATCCCAAGAAGACTGAGATGGTCCTTTTCACCAGGAAAAGAAGTTCAACGGGCTTAATATCTCCCGAAATCTTCAAAAGCAAACTAAACTTCTCTGAAGTGGTAAAATACCTTGGTACTATCCTCGACAGAAAGCTAACATGGAACTCTCATCTACAGAGTAGAGCAAAAAGAGCATACGTGGCTCATGAGCAATGTCGGAGGACAGTGGGATGCGCATGGGGTTTTTCACCTCATGTGGTCACCTGGATCCATACTGCAATAATAAGACCTATGTTAACGTATGGAGCGATTGCATGGGGACCTGTGGCGAGGCTGGACCTGTGGCTGGACCTGTGGCCCAATCTCTGCTGCAGGCAACAAGCGATGCAATTGAACCCAGGTTTGTGTTTAATAAACCCTACAAAATGAAAATCAAGCGGAACATAGAGTCAGATGATACAAATGCAATATGGATTTATAAAGACTGCTCAAAAACCAAAGAAGGCTCAGGGTGTGGAGTGTACTCCAGATCACTGAGCATAAGAATTAAGTGAGAAATGGGAGAAATACCAGCGTGGTCCAAACAGAACTGGCTGGTATCTCAATCGCCACAAAAGAAATAACCAAGAAAGGAATTTCTGGCAAAAACATAACAATCTGCACTGACAGCAGACAAGCCCTATTAGCCTTGAACATACACCGTATAACCTCAAGGCTAGTACTAGAGTGTCACCAAGATTCAGCCAAAGCCTCGGTAGATGATAACATCATCCTGAGGTGGGTTAAAGGGCACGACAGGAGTGAAGGTAATCGCATTGCCGACTCTTCAGCCAAGAAAGCGACTGGTCTAAGAATTTTAGGACCTAGTGGCACCTACGGCCTGATGACTTCGAAAATTGTGGAACTAGTCAAATGTTACACCCATGCTCAATCCTTGAAGAGATGGGACGAAACCAAATGGTGTAATCTTGCCAGGATCACCTTGGGCGACCCTGGGAAGCTGGCGCCGAATAAATATCTGGCAATGACCAGGAAAAATCTACGCCTAACAGTAAGATTTCTGACTGGCCACTGTCAACTAAGGAAACACCTCCATAATATGGGGCTAGTGGACACAACTCTATTTAGGATGTGTGAACAGGAAAATGAGACTGTCAGGCATGTCCTGTGCGAGTACCTAGAGTTATCGTCAATAAGAGAGTGTGTTCGGCGAGTCTTGGCCTACACCTGCCAATATAAAGGAGATGTCTCCCAGTTACCTGTCCACCTTCCTGGAAAGGAAACGATGGACGATGACCTAGGAGGACAACTCCTCTGGAGGATGTACAATGGGTCACATGTGGCCTAAGTACTGTGGGCTTACACTGACCCTCGCTACTCTACAGGTACAGGATACTCGTTACTTAAAGCAATGTTCCTGATGAGATTTTACTCAATCATTTTCTCATTCATGGAAACGTAAAAAGTTCATAAGGTTCAGTTCAGCCGATTTTGTTGGAGGCTATCAAGGGTACATCTTGTGGTACTGCTATTCCTTCTGCTGATATTAAATTGTAAACACTCAACATTTCTCATAACTAAGAGAACAAAGATTGATAGTTGCTCGCTATGCTCCATTTCATCTGTAAATCCAGTATTCGCGGATTTGAAGTTGAGTCGAAACAAAATTCTCTTCCTCAGTTATTTTCGAACAAACAAATCCCAGTCTTCCTTTACATATCGCATCCAAGTTCATCGGAAATAATTTAATCCTAGTCAAAACCTGTTTATGCATAGATAGGTTGCGAAGGAAGATGGAGTTGTATCCTATGTAGAAACAATGGTTGATCTGGATACATGTTTTCAATCAAAATTGGTAATACGTATTTAGCTTCTATTGGGAATGGAATCTGTGTTATTTGCTTTTCACCGGTCTAAATGATGGATTATTTTCAAAAAGTTGGTGTAGCCGTCAATTGGATTCCATATCAAATGTATCACATGCTAGATCTGAATCTATGAATTCTTGTAACGTCAAATTGATATCTGCTGGTTAGTAATTTGAGATACCTTCACATTTCAGCTATTCATTTTAATTTTATTTGTTCTTTCATAGATTTCGACTCATAGCAGAACTGATAAAATTCACGATGAAACCTTGTCAACTACTTTCAAACAAAAGTGCAATATCTGGTCAGGTTACAGTGGATAAATATAAAGTAAATCTCACTGCTTTAATATATTTTTAAAGTTTCAGTGAAACATTTTATTTCTCACTAATTTCATGATTACTCTGTATGAATGTGCATAGAAGCAGCGTATAACCTTCAACAATCAACATTCATATAATTTTCCATTTGTTCTCCGATGTTGATTATCATATTGAGAACATATTTCAACCAAATCAATGTTTCACTCTTTTTCATTATTTTTTTATAGTTGAAAAATTTCAGGGCCTTCGAATTTAATTCTTGTTCACATTTTACCGATTTTTTCTTGTATCCATCCAGAAGTTTACCTTTGGTCTATTAAAGAGTGAATCTGAACGAGTCATTTGGTTGTTTTTTTTTTCTTGAAAAATTCGTCAGAATGGCAATGAGAAGTTGAAGAATTATGTTTCATTCATCATTCAATTTTCAATATAAATTTTCTTTCACTTCTATTCATAAATAATCAATTTATTTTTATAGAAGCATGGTTGAATCAGCCAATGAAGGTGACTGTACCAGGCTCACAAACTACTACTACGCTTCAGAATTTACATCCGGCACAAGTTTATCATTTGAGGATATTGGCCGAAAACCGATTGGGATTGAGTGATCCTAGTCAAACAGTACAAGTCAGTACTCTAGAGGAAGGTAATAATGATTTTGAAATTATTGGTAAATTCGAAATCAAAGGATTGAAAAAATTGAATACAACTGGCCAATACTTGATGATCCATATCAACAAACTAATCAATACAGTTTATTGTATGATTTTCACTATAAAAGGGTTTTACANGTTATTAACGAAAAACTAAATACCATTTTTTTAATCTTATTTTGTTAATAACAATTGCAATTTTTTACCTGCACCAAAATCCTTCAAAACCGTTTTTCTAGAGCTATCGCTTATATTTTCAAGACCTGTATCTCTATTTTTCATGTTTTTGAACTTGTTGATGAGACTAATACCACTGATGATGTTTACCACAGCAGCAGTTGACCTATTCCATATTTTGAATCTTCTTTGGCATTTACCAGAGTGGTTTGAAAATGTTAATTTGAGAAGAAAAAATGCAAGATATACTGGAGAGTTTTCATTCTCAAAATGTTGAGATAGAAATCTTCCTATCGACTCTCCTCGATAGGAAGACTCAACAGATCATCTCTGGTCTAGATTTCTGGCTTTACTGGCCTGGAAGGCAATGAGTCTACTGACTCTTTTGCAAAGGAGGGTGCCGCAAGCAGATTCATCGGACCAGAATCATCGCTTTAGGCTTTGCCAAACAACGATTGAACACCTACATGGCAAGAAGATTTATGGACTTCCGGCAGAATCTTTTAGGATTGGCTCACTCCAACTTCGAAGCTTGATACCAAGCAGTTGTTGGACTACAGTAGGGATGAACTTTGATGTCTAACAGGCCTTCTTACAGGTCACTGTCATTTGAATCATCATATGCAGAGACTCGTACTGTCGGAAGACAGTGTGTGTCGCAGAGCCGTACTCTAACCTTCTCACCTGAAAGACCATTCACCATACAAGCTAATCGACTTCGTTAAGGAGCTGAGTTTGGTCGAGTATGAATCGGTGTGAGCCACAATAAATCCTTGCGGGTTGCAGTGGAAGGTCGAATTCCCCCTTTCTCTTTGGACCTAACTCACCCAACCTTGTCTTTCATATTTGTTCTCATTAATTAATTAAAAAGACATTTTGAAACACACAGAACAATAATATTTTTTTAAATAGCAGGAAAATGAAAAAGGGAGCTTGACTCGGGTACATTCATCTAGAGCCACAAATAATCCTTCAAAGATCCGCATGTGGCTCGCGAGCCGCAGGTTGGCCCCACTGGCATATACCATTGATGACGTTTACGGCAGCACCAGACGACTTATTCCATATTTTGAATCTTCTTTGGCATTTACCGAAAAGATTTCAGAATGTTTATTTGAGAAGGAAAAAGTGCAAGAAACACTGGTTGGTTTATATTTTCGAAACGTTGAGATAGAAATCTTTCTATCGACCCTCCTCGATAGGAAGACTTAACAGATTGTCTCTGGTCTGGATTCTTGGCTATACTGGCCTGGAAAGCAATGAGGCTGCTGACTTCCTTCCAAAGAAGGGTGCTGCAAGCAACTTCTAGGGACCAGAACCTGTCATTGGCATCGCTTTAGGCTTTGCCAAACAAAGATGGAACACCTGGATAGCAAGAAGATTTATGGACTTCTGACAGAATCTTTTATGATTGGCTCACTCCAAGGCGTTTATTCACCCTTCGAAGCTTGATACCAAACAGTTATTATTGGACTACAGTAGGGATGAACTACACGATGTCTAACAGGCCTTCTCACAGGTCACTGTCATTTGAATCATCATATGCAGAGACTTGGACTGTCGGAAGACAGTATGTGTCGCAGAGCCGTACTCTAACCATCTCACCTGAAAGACCATTCTGGTTTTATTTGATCGAATATGAATAGGTGTGAGCGACCGAAACCGAAACCAAAAACGAATTGCGGCAACAGTTTCAGTTTCGGCCGAAACCGAAACTTCCTTACAAGGATTGTGTTTTGAGGGAAAAATGAAGAAAACGTTATATCAAACAGTGAGTCTTAAATTTTTATCTTTAAATCACAACGTTATACAGTCTTCGACATTTTTACTTATTGATAATCAACATAACAAACCCTTATTTAAGAAAAAATATTAATTGCACCTTGAAAATACTTTTCAAAAATATTGAACATGAAATTACTTATTTGAGTTGTTACCTATTATCACAAGTGGTACTTGTGATAATAGATGCAACCGAGACTGCATTCGGGAACTCCCGAATGCAGTCTCGGCAGGTTTGCCGCCGAAACCGAAACTAAACCGAAACCAGTTTTTTTGTCGAAACTCGATCGAAACCGAACATT